GTATACACGCCGTGACGAGATGGGACCGAAGACTCCCGCGCTCTACCCACGCCCGTCTCTCTCTCTCTCTCCCTCCCTGTGCTTTCGTCTCGCTCCCGGCGTGCGTTCGGATGTTCGTCGTTAGGCGCGCGTGCGCGCAGACGGGACAAGACGGACGCGTAGACCGACGGAGAGGACAGGCAGACAGACAGAGGCAGAACAGGGAGATGAATAGCCAGACAGGGAGACGTTTCGGGAAGGTGTTTCCGCTTTGATAATTTTTTTGTTGGTTTTGTTATTGTTGCTCTCATTGCCTTGGTTTTTTTTTATCGCTTTGTCGAGACTTGTCATCGTTATCGCGAGTGTGAATCACGGCCCGGTGCTCCAACGACATTGAGAAGCACAACTGAGCAGAGCATCACAACACGCTCCGTGTGAATCCAGCGTCACAACACGCTCCGTGTGAATCCAGCGTCACAACGCACTCCGTGTGAATCCAGCGTCACAACGCGCTCCGTGTGAATCCAGCGTCACAACGCGCTCCGTGTGAATCCAGCGTCACAACGCGCTCCGTGTGAATCCAGCGTCACAACGCGCTCTGTGTGAATCCAGCGTCACAACGCGCTCCATGTGAATCCAGCATCACAACGCGTTCTGCGTGAACTCGGCATCACAACGTGTTCCGTATGAGTCTATAAGTCTCCACATCAGTCTATAGATCTCCGTGTGAGTCTATTGGCCTCTGTGTGAGTTTGTAGGTCTCCGGGTGAGTCTATAGATCTCCTTGTGAGTTTATAGGTCTCCGTGTGAGTCTATAGGTCTCAGTCTATAGGTCTCTGTGTGAGTTTGTAGGTCTCCATGTGAGTCTATAGGTCTCCGTGTGAGTCTATAGGACTCAGTCCATGGGTCTCTATGTGAGTTTGTAGGTCTCCATGTGAGTCTATAGGTCTCTGTGTTCCGTATGAGTCTATAGGTCTCCGCATCAGTCTATAGATCTCCGTGTGAGTCTATTGGTCTTTGTGTGAGTTTGTAGGTCTCCAGGTGAGTCGCCGTATGAGTATGTAGGTCTCCGTGTGAGTCTATAGATCTGCTTGTGAGTTTGTAGGACTCTGCATGAGTTTATAGGTCTCTGCGTGAGTTTATAGGTCTCCGTGTGAGTCTATATGTCCCCGTGTGAGTCTATAGATCTGCTTGTGAGTTTGTAGGGCTCTGCATGAGTTTATAGGTCTCTGCGTGAGTTTATAGGACTCTGCGTGAGTTTATAGGTCTCGGTGTGAGTCTATATGTTCCCGTATGAGTCTATATGTTCCCGTATGAGTCTATAGATCTGCTTGTGAGTTTGTAGGGCTCTGCATGAGTTTATAGGTCTCGCGCGAGCTAGTGTGGTTCCCCGTGTTGTGCTACTCCCTTATCATTCCGAAGCTGTTTGTTCATAGGAAGATAGACACATTTGAAAAGAAAAGGCTTTCAAATTTATCGGAGCTGCTCAGCCCCGTTTTTTTACTTTTACATGGGGGGGGGGGTGGGTGCTTTCCAAATCGATGGCCCATGCTGGTCCTTCTGAGATATCCTGACCTTTCCCTCTCTGCCAGCAATCCCAGGTTTTATCGATTTCCCCCCACCCCCAGCTTGTAATCAAAAGGAGCGCGCGACCTTGAGGGATAGCGGTGACCGGGGTCGAGGCCATCAAACTCCCGTGCTCGCGAGGGCCTCTGTGCAATCTCGCGCAGCTGCGCCCGATACACGGTGGGAATTGAGGATCTCGGCGGCGGTAGGAATAGCGCTGCAGCACGGCCATTATGAGCCGCTTGGCAGAGAGAGACCCGGACCCAGGGCTTGAACCCAGAATGTAAGCAGTTCTGACTTAGTTTAACGCGTAGGCTTTCTCGACCAATATTATTCATAATAAAGGTTTTTTGGGTTAGATCGCGTTTATTTATAAATGTGTCGTAACCCTCCACCACCCGACACGGCCAATCAGCAAAAAAAAAAGCGTCACGTTGACAAAAGACAAATAATTCACTACTTTAGCCCACCGGTGTGTTGAAGAAATGTGGATTCACTCTTCAACACACCGGTGGGCTAAAGTAGTGAATTATTTGTCTTTTGTCAACGCGACGCTTTTTTTTTGCTGATTGGCCGTGTCGGGTGGTGGAGGGTTACGACACATTTATAAATAAACGCGAGCTAACCCAAAAACTTTTATTATGAGTTCTGACTTAAATCATGGGACCTCCTTTGCCAAGTACCAAAATATGACAATAGGTTTTTTTCCCCTGTTTTCCTGGCAACAAAAACAGCTGTGTTCAGATGTTAAAACACCGAACTGAAACCTTTTACAAGGAATCGTGTCTGGACCAATCAGGTTCAAGGACGATGCATCATATTATCAGAGTGTGTTTTTTTTTGTTTGCATTCTGACCACAAGCATTGTGGTTAATGCAAGACGCGATTCCTTGTGAAGGTTTCAGTTTGGTGTTTTAACATCTTAACACGGCTGTTTGCCAGACAAAAGGGGAAGAACCTATTATCAGTCCTGACTTAGTGTCTGTGACATCACAATTATGAACAAAAAAGGGCTAAACTCTGTACAGTAAAACCCTTGGATTGCGAGTCACTTTGTCTTCGAGTGTTTTGCAAGACGAGCAAATTTTTTAAAATAAATATTAATTTGTCTTGTTTTTCCCCCACTTCAGCAAAAATAAAATAAAAATTCTTGCTGTGGTTTCCCACCTGATGACGATTGCTTGTGTTGCAATCGAAACGTCGTGATTTAATTTATTTATTTTATACCTACGTGACTTTTCCCGAAAGAACCGAGGAGCACGTTTCGCCAGTAACCACAACCAGCTTCATCAGGCGACAGCCAGATTTGTGATGATGATGATGGTGAGCTCGCTTCATTGAGCTGCGATCATACGCGATGGCCAGGTCGCTCCTGAAAAATAACTACAGCTCAGTGGGGGGGGGGGGGGGGGGGGGGCCTTATTCGATAAAATAAAATAAATGTAAAAAACTAGTTTAGTTTAATGTACAGTAAAAGCTTGGATTGCGAGTAACTTTGTCTGCGAGTGTTTTGCAAGACGAGCAAATTTTTAAAAAAATAAATATTAATTTGATAAACGAGCGAGGGTCTTGCAATACGAGTAGTAGTACGTGCAGGCGCTTGTACTGCCGAGCATCACGTGATCACAACTGATATACGTTGTGCTTTGATATACGAGTGCTTTGGATTACAAGACGCGACCTGGCCACAAATGATAGCTCAGCGAAGTAGCTTATATACCAGGCGAGGTAGTTAACGTCTCACAGCCACCGTGATGATGATGATGAGAGAGAGACACGCAAACTGCCAATATACAGCAGCAGGTGTCAGGGTCGGGATCGAACCTACGACCTCCTGTACACCAGGCGAGGTAATTAACATCTCCTAGCCACCGTGATGATGATGATGATGAGAGAGAGACACGCAAACTCCAAATATACAGCAGCAGCAGGCGTCAGGGTCAGGATCGAACCCACGACCTCCTGTACACCAGGCGAGGTAGTCAACATCTCCTAGCCACCGTGGCGATGTGGCAGGCGGACAGCCAAAGTTGATGCTACTCGACGTTGCTAGTCGATGTTGCTCGTCGGTCATGCCGGTCGACGTTGCTGATTGTAATTACTGGCGAAACGTCGTACTCCTCGAATTGCAAATGTCGCGGGTGTACCTCTCCAACACCACCGGGGGTGGTGCTGCACTCGTAAAGGCATTGCCCGCGTTTTCTCGAGGTCGCACAGACCCTTACTAATTGGCCGTGTCCGGGTTGCTTGGCGCCGGGTTTTTAGCCACCTGTTGTCGATGATGTCGCTCGTGAAAGCGCCTTGTCGCGGCGTGCTCACCGAACGACAGCGTGCGCCAAAAGAAGGAACAGCACCACATGCCACCTTCGCTCGTGCGAAGGTGGCATCCGTCGGCAGCGAGTGGGTGCGTCGTGTAAATAATGTGAGTGTTCAAAAAAAAAAAACGGCGTTCCCCCGTGTCTGTACCCGCCACCGCTCTGTGTGCGAGACCCTGGAAAGGAGAACGAATAACAGTGGCCGACGATTCGGGCGGCGGCGCCTTTTCAAGGCGCACGCGAAACGCCGGCACGGGTTCTCGTCCGTTGACGAATGCGGGGGCCGGTCGCCGCGCCCGGGTTATTTTAAAACCGCGGCAAGCATCGGGTGCCAAAAGCTGCGCTGACATTGGCGCACCGGCTCCTCCTCCCCTCTCCCCCTAATCCACTCCTTCCTTCTCCCTCCTCCTACTCATCCACTCCCTCCTCCTCCCCCCCCTCCTACTACTCATCCACTCCCTCCCCCCCCCCTCCTCCTCCTCCTACTCATCCACTCCCTCCTTCTCCCTCCTCCTACTCATCCACTCCCTCCTCCTCCCCCCCTCCTACTCATCCACTCTCCTCCTCCCCCCCCCCTCCTCCTACTCATCCACTCCCTCCTCCCCCTCCCTCTCCTCCTCCTACTCATCACTCCCTCCTTCTCTCCCCCCCTCCTCCTACTCATCCACTCCCTCCTTCTCTCCCCCCCCTCCTCCTACTCATCCACTCCCTCCTTCTCCTCCTACTCATCCACTCCCTCCTTCTCCCCCCCTCCTCCTCCTTATCCACTCCCTCCTCCTCTCCCCCCCTCCTCCTACTCATCCACTCCCTCCATCCTCCCCCTCCCCTCCTCCTCCTCCTCCTACTCATCCACTCCTCCTCCTCCCCCTCCTCCTCCTCCTACTCATCCCCTCCCCCCCCCTCCTCCTACTCATCCACTCCCTCCTCTCTCCCCCCCCACCCCATCCCCAACGACCCCAGCACCACGAACAGCCCAGCAGCAGGCTCACACGGACCTGTGCGAGTACGCCCGCCGACAGACACTTCCTGACAAGAACCCGCCACTCGTGCCCGTGCCCGTGGCCACCGTGGCCACCACCGGCGGGGGCAGCGGGGGCAGCGGGGGGCCTCCCCCCACTGCCCCCACCGCCGCCGCCGCCCGCCAGCGCCGCTCCGAGCCGCCGGCGACCTCCGGCTCCTCCGCCGGCTCCTCCGCCGGGTGCCTCGCCGGCCCGGGGTCGAGGTTCACCGTCGCGGGGACCGCGGCCGGAGCAGCGGTGGCCGGCGCCTACTGGGACTCGTCGGCTGTGGACGTACGTCGGTTCGGGACTGTGGCTCCCCCGGGTGGAGGGGTGGGGCGGGGAGGGGCGGGGGAGGGTCGAGGTGGGTAGGGCCGTGGGTGTCTCTGACACGGCCAATGTGAACCCCACCCTCCCCCCTCCCCCACCCCCTCCCCCACCCCCCCCCCGCCCTCCCTCCACCGCCCCGTGAGAGAGACGGAGAGAGACCCAGAGCAGCAGGCATCGTCAGGGTCGGGATCGAACCCACGACCTCCTGTATACCGGGCGAGGTAGTCAACATCTCCTAGCCACCGTGATGATGATGAGAGAGAGAGACACGCAAACTCCAAATACAGCAGCAGGCATCGTCAGGGTCGGGATCGAACCCACGACCTCCTGACACCAGGCGAGGTAGTCAACATCTCCTAGCCACCGTGATGATGATGAGAGAGAGAGAGAGACACGCAGACTCCAAATATACAGCAGCAGCAGGCATCGTCAGGGTCGGGATCGAACCCACGACCTCCTGTACACCAGGCGAGGTAGTCAACATCTCCTAGCCACCGTGATGATGATGATGAGAGAGAGAGAGACACGCAAACTCCAAATATACAGCAGCAGCAGGCGTCAGGGGTCGAGATCGAACCTTACGACCTCCTGTATACCGGGCGAGGTAGTCAACATCTCCTAGCTACCGTGATGATGATGAGAGAGAGAGAGACACGCAAACTCCAAATATACAGCAGCAGGCATCGTCAGGGTCGGGATCGAACCCACGACCTCCTGTACACCAGGCGAGGTAGTCAACATCTCCTAGCCACCGTGATGATGATGAGAGAGAGGAGAGACACGCAGACTCCAAATATACAGCAGCAGCAGGCATCATCAGGATCGGGATTGAACCCACGACCTCCTGTACACCAGGCGAGGTAGTCAACATCTCCTAGCCACCGTGATGATGATGATGAGAGAGAGAGAGACACTCAAACTCCAAAATACAGCAGCAGCAGGCATCGTCAGGGTCGGGATCGAACCCACGACCTCCTGTACACCAGGCGAGGTAGTTAACATCTCCTAGCCACCGTGATGATGAGAGAGAGAGAGAGACACAGACTCCAAATATTCAGCAGCAGCAGGCATCGTCACGGGTCGGGATCAAACCCACGACCTCCTGTATACCAGGCGAGGTAGTCAACATCTCCTAGCCAACGTGATGATGATGATGAGAGAGAGAGACACGCAGACTCCAAATATACAGCAGCAGGTATCGTCAGGGTCGGGATCGAACCCACGACCTCCTGTACACCAGGCGAGGTAGTCAACATCTCCTAGCCACCGTGATGATGATGATGAGAGAGAGAGACACGCAAACTCCAAATATACAGCAGCAGGCATCGTCAGGGTCGGGATCGAACCCACGACCTCCTGTATCCGGGCGAGGTAGTCAACATCTCCTAGCCACCGTGATGATGATGATGAGAGAGAGAGAGACACGCAAACTCCAAATATACAGCAGCAGCAGGCATCGTCAGGGTCGGGATCGAACCCACGACCTCCTGCGTACCAGGCGAGGTAGTCAACATCTCCTAGCCACCGTGGCGATGTGGCAGGCGGACAGCCAAAGTTGATGCTAGTCGACGTTGCTAGTCGATGATGCTCGTCGGTCATGCCGGGCGATGATGCCGGTTGTAATTACTGGCGAAACGTCGTACTCCTCGAATTGCAAATGTCGCGGGTGTACTCTCCAACACCACCGGGGGTGGTGCTGCACTCGTAAAGGCATTGCCCACGTTTTCTCGAGGTCGCACAGACCCTTACTAATTGGCCGTGTCCGGTTGTTTGGCGCCGGAATCGGCGTCGCGATCGTACGAACCCCATTGTTCATAACGGTCGCATCCGCAACACTGAGCCCTCAGCGCTGGGGTGCATGCTCATCGGCTCACGATGGCCGGCGTCGGAGATGCTGAGAATCGTGGGTTTGTGAGTAGGGTTCGGAGGCATCTCTCTCTCTCTCTCAGAGGGATCACAGTGGCGGTGTCTGACACGCTGAGCCCACAACGCCCATAGCCACCACCCCCGAGGTTCACAACGGCCGGCTGGGGTGGGGCTGAGCCCGGCCGTTGTGGCCCGGCTGGGCGACGCGAGGGAGCACGCGGGAGGCGATTCGACGACGATGATGATGATGACGATGATGATGGCGACGATGATGATGATGATGATGGCGACGATGATGACGACGATGATGATGACGACGACGACGATGATGACGACGATGATGTTGATGATGGCGACGATGATGACGACGATGATGACGATGATGGCGACGACGATGATGACGACGACGATGATGGCGATGACGATGATGATGATGGCGACGACGATGATGATGATGGCGACGACGATGATGACGATGGCGACGACGATGATGATGATGACGATGATGATGATGACGACGATGATGACGACGATGACGACGATGATGGCGACGACGATGATGACAACGATGATGACGATAACGACCATAACGATGACGACGACGACGATGATGATGACGATGACGATGATGATGACGACGATGATGATGACGATGACGATGATGATGACGACGATGATGATGACGATGACGATGATGATGACGACGATGATGATGACGACAATGTTGACGATAACGACCATAACGATAACGACCATAACGATGATGACGATGATGACGATGATGATGACGACGATGACGATGATGACGATAACGACCATAACGATAACGACCATAACGATGATGACGATGATGACGACGACGACGATGACGATGCAGTCCCCGCCACTGATTAGCTCGTTAAGATAAAAACGGCGAAATCGCCGGAGCGTCGGGCCATAAATTAACGGCGCCCCTCGACCCGTCGGCTTCATCCTCTCGCGCTCGTGCTCGCTATTAGCGGGCAATGAGCCGGCACTTAATTAAGTTGGCCGTGGTGTTGGGCGCGCGGAGAAAACGATCGTGCCATGGCGGCTGTGAGAGAGTGTGAGAGTGTGAGTGTGAGGGTGAGTGAGTGTGAGTGAGAGTGAGTGAGAGTGAGTGAGAGTGAGAGAGTGTGAGAATGTGAGAGTGTGAGAGTGTGAGGGTGAGTGAGTGAGAGAGTGTGAGTGAGTCTGTGAGTCTGTGAGTGTGAGTGAGTCTGTGAGTGAGTTTGTGAGTCTGTGAGTGTGAGTGAGTCTGTGAGTGAGTCTGTGAGTGTGTGAGAGTGTGAGTGAGTGAGTCTGTGAGTGTGAGAGTGAGTCTGTGAGTCTGTGAGTGTGAGGGTGTGAGAGTGTGAGAGTGTGAGAGTGTGAGAGTGTGAGAGTGTGAGAGTGTGAGAGTGTGAGAGTGTGAGAGTGTGAGAGTGTGAGTGAGAGTGTGAGAGTGTGAGAGTGTGAGGGTGTGAGGGTGTGAGTGTGTGAGAGTGTGAGGATGTGAGTGAGAGAGTGAGAGAGTGTGAGGGTGTGTGAGAGTGTGAGAGTGTGAGAGTGTGAGTGAGAGTGAGTCTGTGAGTGTGTGAGAGTGTGAGGGTGTGAGAGTGAGAGTGAGTCTGTGAGTGTGTGAGAGTGTGTGAGAGAGTGTGAGAGTGTGAGGGTGAGTGAGTGAGTGTGAGTGAGTCTGTGAGTGAGTCTGTGAGAGTGTGTGAGAGAGTGTGAGAGTGTGAGGGTGAGTGAGAGAGTGTGAGTGAGTCTGTGAGTGAGTCTGTGAGAGTGAGAGAGTGTGAGGGTGAGTGTGAGAGTGTGAGGGTGAGTGAGTGAGTGTGAGAGTGTGAGAGTGTGAGTGTGTGAGTGAGTCTGTGAGAGTGTGTGAGTGTGAGTGTGTGAGGGTGTGTGAGAGTGTGAGAGTGTGAGTGAGTCTGTGAGTGTGTGAGAGTGAGAGTGTGTGAGAGTGTGAATGAGTGAGTGAGTCTGTGAGTGAGAGAGTGTGAGTCTGTGAGTCTGTGAGAGTGAGTCTGTGAGTGTGAGGGTGTGAGAGTGTGAGTGAGTGTGAGAGTGAGTGAGTGAGTCTGTGAGTGTGTGAGGGTGTGAGGGTGAGTGAGAGTGTGAGAGTGAGTGAGTGTGAGTGAGAGTGTGAGAGTGTGAGAGTGAGTGAGTGAGTCTGTAAGTGTGTGAGAGCGTGAGTGAGTCTGTGAGTGAGTCTGTGAGAGTGAGTGAGAGTGAGTGAGTCTGTGAGTGAGTCTGTGAGTGAGTGAGAGAGAGTGAGAGTGTGGGAGTGAGAGTGAGTGAGTGAGAGTGAGTGAGTGTGAGGGTGTGAGGGTGAGTGAGAGTGAGAGGGTGTGAGAGTGTGAGCGTGAGTGTGAGAGTGTGAGTGAGTCTGTGAGTGAGTCTGTGAGTGAGTCTGTGAGTGAGTCTGTGAGTGTGAGAGAGTGTGAGAGTGTGTGAGTGTGAGAGTGTGAGAGTGTGAGGGTGTGAGAGTGTGAGAGTGTGAGGGTGTGAGAGTGTGAGTGAGTGAGTGAGAGTGTGAGAGTGTGAGAGAGTGAGAGTGTGAGAGTGTGAGAGTGTGAGGGTGTGAGAGTGTGAGTGAGTGAGTGAGAGTGTGAGAGTGTGAGAGAGTGAGAGTGTGAGAGTGTGAGAGAGTGAGAGTGTGAGAGAGTGAGTGAGTGTGTGAGTGTGTGAGAGTGTGAGAGTGTGAGCGAGTGAGTGAGTGAGTCTGTGAGTGTGAGAGTGTGAGTGAGTCTGTGAGTGAGTCTGTGAGTCTGTGAGTGTGAGTGAGTCTGTGAGTGTGAGTGAGTCTGTGAGTGTGAGTGAGTCTGTGAGTGAGTCTGTGAGTGAGTCTGTGAGTGAGTCTGTGAGTGTGAGAGAGTGTGAGAGTGTGGGTGTGTGAGAGTGTGAGGGTGTGAGAGTGTGAGGGTGTGAGGGTGTGAGAGTGTGAGGGTGTGAGAGTGTGAGGGTGTGAGAGTGTGAGGGTGTGAGGGTGTGAGAGTGTGAGGGTGTGAGAGTGTGAGGGTGTGAGAATGTGAGAGTGTGAGTGTGTGAGTGTGAGAGTGAGTGAGTCTGTGAGTGAGTCTGTGAGTGTGAGTGAGTCTGTGAGTGTGAGGGTGAGTGAGTCCTCTCGCCCGCTCACCCTCTCCCCCGCTCACCCTCTCACCCGCTCACCCACTCGCCCTCTCGCCCACTCACCTACTCACCCTCTCACCCACTCACCCACTCACACGCTCACCCATTCGCCCACTCACCTACTCACCCTATCACCCACTCACCCTCTCACCCGCTCACCCACTCGCCCACTCACCTACTCACCCTATCACCCACCCACCCTCTCGCCCACACACCCTTTCGCCCACTCACCTACTCACCCTCTCACCCACTCACCCTCTCACCCACTCACCCACTCACCCTCTCACCCACTCACCCACTCACCCTCTCACCCACTCACCCACTCACCCTCTCACCCACTCACCCTCTCACCCACTCACCCTCTCACCCACTCACCCTCTCACCCACTCACCCACTCACCCACTCACCCTCTCGCCCACTCACCCTCTCACCCACTCACCGTCACCCACTCACCCACTCACCCTCTCACCCACTCACCGTCTCACCCACTCACCCACTCACCCTCTCACCCACTCACCCTCTCACCCACTCACCCACTCACCCACTAACCCACTCACCCTCTCACCCTCTCACCCACTCACCCACTCACCCTCTCGCCCACTCACCCTCTCACCCACTCACCGTCTCACCCACTCACCCACTCACCCTCTCACCTACCCACTCACCCTCTCACCTACTCACCCTCTCACCCACACACCCCTCACCCACTCACCCTCTCACCCACTCACCCACTCACCCCTCACCACTCACCCACTCACCCTCTCACCCACTCACCCACTCACCCTCTCACCCACTCACCCTCTCACCCACTCACCCTCTCACCCACTCACCCTCTCACCCACTCACCCTCTCACCCACTCACGCCCTCACCCACTCACCCTCTCACCCACTCACTCTCACCCACTCACCCACTCACCCTCTCACCCACTCACCCACTCACCCCTCACCCACTCACCCACTCCCCTCACCACTCACCCTCTCACCCACTCACCCTCTCACCCACTCACCCTCTCACCCACTCACCCTCTCACCCACTCACCCACTCACCCTCTCACCCACTCACCACTCACCCTCTCACCCACTCACCCACTCACCCTCTCACCCACTCACCCTCTCACCCACTCACCGTCTCACCCACTCACCCACTCACCCACTCACCCTCTCACCCACTCACTCACTCACCCTCTCACCCACTCACCACTCACCCACTCACTCACTCACCCTCTCACCCACTCACCCTCTCACCCTCTCACCCACTCACCCACTCACTCACCCTCTCACCCACTCACCCTCTCACCCACTCACCCTCTCACCCACTCACCCTCTCACCCACTCACCCACCCACCCACTCACCTCTCACCCACTCACCGTCTCACCCTCTCACCCACTCACCCACTCACCCTCTCACCCACTCACCCACTCACCCTCTCACCCACTCACCCTCTCACCCACTCACCCACTCACCCACTCACCCTCTCACCCACTCACCCACTCACCCTCTCACCCTCTCACCCACTCACCCACTCACCCACTCACCCTCTCACCCACCCACTCACCCACCCACCCACTCACCCACTCACCCACCCACCCTCCCACCCACCCACCCACCTCCCACCACCCTCTCATTCACCCACCCACCCTCTCACCCACTCCCCTCTCACCCACTCACCCACTCACCCTCTCACCCACTCACCCACTCACCCACTCACCCACTCACTCACTCACCCACTCACCCACCCTCTCACTCACCCACTCACCCTCTCACCCACTCACCCACTCACCCACTCACCCACCCACTCACTCACCCTCTCACCCACTCACCCACTCACCCACTCACCCACTCACCAACTCACCCTTTCACCCACTCACCCACTCACCCTTTCACCCACTCACCCACTCACCCACTCACACTTTCACCCTCTCACCCACTCACCGTCTCACCCTCTCACGCACCCACTCACCCTCTCACCCACTCACTCACCCTCTCACCCACTCACTCACCCTCTCACCCACTCACTCCCCTCACCCACCCACTCACCCTCTCACCCACTCACCCACTCACCCACTCACGCTCTCACCCACTCACCCACTCACCACTCACTCACCCACTCACTCACCACTCCCCACTCACCCACTCACGCACTCACCCACTCACCCACTCACCCATCCACTCACCCACTCACTCACCCACTCACCCCCCACTCACCACCCACCCACCCACTCACCCTCTCACCCACTCATCCTCTCACCCACTCACCCTCTCACCCACCCACCCTCTCACCCACCCACTCACCCACTCACTCACCCTTTCACCCACCCACCCTCTCACCCACTCACCCTCTCACCCTCTCACCCACTCACCCTCTCACCCACTCACTCACTCACCCACTCACCACCCACCCACTCACCACTCACCCTCTCACTCACCCTCTCACTCACCCTCTCACTCACCCACCCACCCACTCACCCACTCACCCACTCACCCACTCACTCACCCACTCACCCACTCACCCACACACCCACCCACCACCCACTCACCCACCCACCCACTCACCCACTCACTCACTCACTACTCACCCACCCACCCACCCACTCACCCACTCACCCTCTCACTCACCTACTCACCCTCTCACTCACCCACCCACTCACCCACTCACTCACCCACTCACCCACTCACCCTCTCACCCACTCACCCACTCACTCACCCACCCACTCACCCACCCACTCACCCACTCACTCACACACTCACCCACTCACCCACTCACCCTCTCACTCACCCACTCACTCACCCTCCCCCTCACCCACCCACTCACCCACTCACCCTCTCACTCACCCTCTCACCCACCCACCCACGCACTCACCCACTCACCCACTCACCCACCCACTCACCCACCCACCCACCCACTCACCCACCCACTCACCCACCCACCCACTCACCCACCCACTCACCCACCCACCCACCCACCCACTCACCCACCCACTCACCCACCCACCCACTCACCCACCCACCCACCCACTCACCCACCCACTCACCCACCCACCCACTCACCCTCTCACTCACCCTCTCACTCACCCACCACCCACCCACCACCAGCCACTCACCCACCCACTCACCCACTCACCCTCTCACTCACCACCCACCCACCCACTCACCCACCCACTCACCCACCCACCCACCCACTCACCCACCCACTCACCCACCCACTCACCCACTCACCCACCCACCCACCCACTCACCCACCCACCCACCATCCACCCACCCACCCACTCACCCTCTCACTCACCCACTCACCCTCTCACTCACCCACCCACCCACTCACCCACCCACTCACCCACTCACTCACCCACCCACTCACCCTCTCACTCACTCACTCACCCACCCACCCACCCACTCACCCACCCACCCACCCACTCACCCACCCACTCACCCACCCACCCACCCACTCACCCTCTCACTCACTCACCCACTCACCCACCCACCCACTCACCCTCTCACTCACTCACACTCACCCACCCACCCACCCACTCACCCACCCACCCACTCACCCACCCACCCACTCACCCACCCACTCACCCACCACTCACTCACCCACCCACTAACCCACTCACCCACCCACTAACCCACTCACCCACCCACTCACCCACTCACCCACCTACCCACCCACCACTCACCCTCTCGGTGTTTAACTCGCCGCGCTACCGATCCGGCAGCTGTGCTGATCGCACCGTACGTAGCCAACCGTGCTGAACGGAGGTTGTTGATGTCGTCATCGTTGTTGTTGTTGATGTCGTCATCGTTGTTGTTGTTGTCGATGTTGTTGTCGATGTTGTTGATGTTGTTGTCGATGTTGTTGTCGTTGTTGTGCCTAGATGGGGGGCATAGCGAGCGTGGGGTAACGCCTGGCGGAGTCCGGGGGGGCGTGTGGGGGGGCCCGCCCCAGACAACCCTCGGCCTCGTCCCACGGAGACAGCCCGGGGGGGGCACGGCCACGGTCAGCCAGTGGCAGACAGGTGAGGGGGGGGGGACACAGTAGGGGGGGGGGACACAGTGGGGGTGGTGCAGTTGGGGGGGGAGGTGACACGGGGGGGGGGTGACACGGGGGGGGTGACGAGGGTGGTGGTGATGGTGGTGGTGATGTCGATGTTGATGATGTTGATGTTGTTGACAATGTTGACGATGTTGTTGATGATGTTGTTGACGATGTTGACGATGTTGACGTTGTTGACGATGTTGACGATGTTGTTGATGTTGTTGACGATGTTGTTGACGATGTTGATGTTGTTGACGATGTTGACGATGTTGTTGATGTTGTTGATGTTGTTGACGATGTTGTTGACGATGTTGACGATGTTGACGATGTTGACGATGTTGATGTTGTTGACGATGTTGACGATGTTGTTGATGTTGTTGACGACGGCGTGGATGTTGCCGTGGGCGCTTGCCAGGGTGCCGTGTCGTCCTCCACACTGTCCCCCGTGGAGCGCACGGCCACGTGGGTCCTCACCCTGCAGCAGGGGGACGAGGGGGGGGGCCCTGCGGGGGGGGGCCCTGCGGGGGGGGGCCCTGCGGGGGGGGGCCCGGCGGGGGGGGACAAGCGAACGGAGCGGGTGAGACGCACGTCCACTCGCCCACCCGCTCACCCACCCACTCGCTCACCCACTCGCTCACCCACTCGCCCACCCGCTCACCCACCCACTCGCTCACCCGCTCACCCACCCACCCGCTCACCCACTCGCTCACCCACTCGCCCACCCGCTCGCCCACCCACTCGCTCACCCGCTCGCTCACTCATCCAGTCATCCATGTATCTCAGTCACCAATCGCTCGTTCATCCACTCGCCCACCCACTCGCTCACCCGCTCGCTCACCCGCTCGCTCATCCATGTACTAAATCAACCACTCACTCACCCATCCACTAATCCATTTTTTCAGTCCCCCACTCGCTCACCCATCCACTCACCCATTCACTCGCTCACCCACTCGCTCATCCATGTATCTCAGTCACCCACTCGCTCACCCATCCACTAATCCATGTACTCAGTCACCCACTCACTCACCCACCTACCGACTCGCCCACTTGCTCACCCATCTGCTCACCCATTCCCAAACACACACCTACTCATTCGCTCACTCGTTCACCCATGAACCTACCCACTCACTCACCACCCACTTTCTAACTCGCACCCACCTACGCATTCACCCGCTCACCTACTCACTCACCCACTCACCTACTCACTCACCTACTCACTCACCCGCTCACCTACTCACCCGCTCACCTACTCACTCACTCGCTCACCTTCTCACTCACCCGCTCACCTACGCATTCACCCGCTCACCTACTCACTCACCTGCTCACCTACGCATTCACCTGCTCACTACTCACTCACCCGCTCACCTACGCATTCACCCGCTCAACTACTCACTCACCCGCTCACCTACTCACTCACCCGCTCACTTACTCACTCACCCGCTCACCTACTCACTCACCCGCTCACCTACTCACTCACCCGCTCACCTTCTCACTCGTTCACCCTCGGTAACTCGATCACTCGTACACAACTGCCTGCCTACCCACTCGATCACGCGCTCGCCCGATCAATCACTCACTCACCAAATCGCTCACCTACGCATCCATTTTCTCGATAACCTACTCACCAACAAATTCACCCACTCGCTCACTAGTTTATCTACGCACATACCCACGTACACTATAAACAACTCACCTTTTCGTTGATTCACTCAGTTTGCTGCTCACGTACTCACCCACCGGCACACTCGCATGCTTACTTATCACCTCACTCACTCATCCACCTACTCACTCATTCACTCAATCACCTACCCTCTCACTCACCCACCCACTTAAATCAATAAAACCTAATCACCCACTCAGTCATATGCTTAATCACTCACCCAATCAATTATCCACTCACCCACCCATTCACCAACTCATCCATCCACTCAACAACTCATCCACTCAACTACTGCATAACCCAATCGGTCTACCACTCACCCTCTAATGCAGTCATTCTCTCACTCATTCACAAAACCACTCACCAAATCACTCGTAAACTCATTCAGCGAGTCACTCATCCGTGAACTCATTCATTCCACCGGTCATTCATTCTTCTTCTATTTTGTTCGGACGCATGTTCGTTAAAGCGTTCATTTGTCTGGTCAGCCACTCCGTAATGGAGTCATCGGTCCCCTAAATTAAATCAATCGGCCATTCATTCGGACACTTTGGCCATTCACTAATGCATTCGCTCATTAAGTGCATTCACCCGTGGAGATTACCAAAGGCGCGCATAGCGACTGAGAAGCCTGGGTTCACGTCCCCGGCCCCGGCTGTGGTTATAAACCGGCTCCGCCCGTGCGGTGAGTTTGCCGGCCTCAGCCTCAGCCTCGGTCACCGGGTGAGCCGCCGCCACCGGTGACAAATCCGGCTGTCGCCTGACGAAGCCGGTCGCAGTTACCGTCGAAACGTCGTGCTCGGATGTGTGAACGTTGTGGCTTGCCTCTCCGACGCGACCGTTGTGCTGCTGCCCTAGCGACGAATCGGCCGCGTTCTGTTGCCGCGACAAACCTTGCTAATTGGCCGCGTGGGGTGATTGTGGCGGGGTTTTAACGACACGTTTGTACATTTACACGAACTAACCCCGCCCCCCCCCCCCCCCCCCCACCAAAAAACAAACAGACGTTGGTCGCGAAAGCCCTACTACTGCGTTGTTAAACCGACGGTTTGAGTTCCTTCGCGGGACCAACGGCGTCGTGAAGGTCATCGTAAAGGTCACGGCTTTGGGAGGAAAACGCGGAACCCCGGGGTGGCGACCCACGCGGAACAGTGGCGGGAGGGAGAAGAATACCGACTCGGGTGTTTTAAAATAAAATAAAAAAATGTTAACACTGAAGTGGGACCATCGTTTTTAATGGGGGGGAAAATAACTGATTATAATACACTGTGCCAAATGTAAATGTTAATAGCTTCAAAAAGTCGAGGAGTGTCTCTCCCGCTTTGTTGGCCATCGATGTCAACGCTGTGCCTGGAATCTTCTCCCGGTGCCCTCCAGAGGCCCGGAGGCAGCAGGGCATTTCTAATGGCGCTGTTGAAAATTCTCCGAAGTGTTCACATTTTTTTAAAGCCTACCCTGTATTATCCATAATATAGTTTTTTCTTTGTTTGGGGGAGTAAGATGGCGTAAATTAAAAACGTGTTGCCGTTAAAACCCCCACCCCACCACCGCCCGACACGGCCAAATCACGAAACCTTGTGTGTCACTGAAACAATACGTGCCAATTCGTTAACTTAGTCCGGCACTCACCCGGTTGTGTGCCGGAGCGTTAAACCCACAGCGACTTGTACAATTGCAGTAGCCGCTGACGTTCCGCTGGGTGATGAGAACAGCAACAACAACCACCCAGCAGCCTCGTTGGGCGGTTTAGCCACGTGTGTGAAGAAGTCTCCCTCCTGTTTTGGTCTTGAATTTAGTCAAGGTGATGCCCTCGGTGGTAAGCCCTATCAGGTGCGAAGAGCAGACGGATTGGCGGGGGTCGGCGGGGGGGTTAATGCACACCGTGTCTCAACCCCTTACGTTTTACCACGTATTCTTGTACAGGTGAAATTGAGTGTTTCAGGTCCATACGGGCGTACAACCGTTTCAAAATAAAATGTGTTTGTTTGTTTTGTGTTTCTCCCTTGTGATGGGAATTTGTAGGGTGAATGTTGAGATTTATAAGGCTACAGGGGTGACCCAATAAGGTCTGGATTGTTCTGTAATAGGGTAGGCACGGATCAGGAGTTGACAGGTGTGTTTAATGTATGGTCATTAATTACAGTGGACCGTGTTGCTTGGAGAATATGCCGATTTACAATCGGTTCGGGTTAGTCGCGGCGAAACATTTTAATTTCGCGCGATCCTACCCAAACAATCCAAACGATCAAATCGCCTCGATCCGAAGCAATTCCAACCGCCCGCTCAAAAAGCACCATTCAATCATTTTTTTTGTAATCTCCGGCAGTACGAGCAGGAGATCGGGCGGCTCAAGGAGCGGCTGGCCGGCTCGTCGCACAAGCTTGAGGAGTACGAGCGGCGCCTCCGGGCGCAGGAGGAGCACATGCAGCGTCTGGTGCAGGAGTACCAGACGCGGCTCCACGACAGCCAGGAGAACCTGCGGCGACAGCAGGAGCACAAGGACGCGCAGATGAAGGGCATCATCAACCGGTGAGCCACGGGGGGTAGGGGTTTGGGGGGCGGCGGGGGGGGGGGGGGGGGGGGAAGCGACGAGGCGACGCTCGCTTGGGACCGCACACCGTGTCTGCCGACGGGGTTTACCCCGTGTTCTTGTACAGGGAAATTGAGTGTTTCAGCCGTTTCGATACGGGCAAACAAAAAACAATAATGCGTTTGTGTGTTCTCCCTTGCGATGGGACTTTGTAGGATGAGCTTTGAGATTTTTAAGGGGCCACGGGGTGACCAATAAGGTCTGAATTGGCCTGTGATAAGGTAGGGCACTGCTAAGGGCTTGACAGCTATGGAGAGCAACAGGGATACACAGATACACACACAGACACGCACAGACCCACAGAGAAGGATACCTGTCAACCGACGCGGTTTACCACGTATTTTTTGTACGGGGAAATTGATTGTTTCAGGTCCACACGGCGTACAGCCGTTTCAATACGGGCAAAAAAAAATATTATTTTGTTCGTGTTTCTCCCTTGTGATCATGGCACTTAGTAGGATGAACGTTGACATTTATAAGGGGCACGGTGTGACCAATACGGCCTGAATTGGTCTGTAATATGGTAGGCACTGATAAGGGGTTAACAGGAATGCAACCACGATGCTATAAACTCGGGCCGACAAAGAGCAGCTTATCTTCCACGCCTGACAGCACCACGGTCTCAACGAGCGATTAAGCGGGCATTCATTTCAACGGGGGGAGGTGTGTCCGAGCCATCGACGCCTACTTTTCCTTATTTAAATCAATACGACATTATTGCGTGCGATGTCCACCGCATTGAGTGTGTTGCGATGCATTCTTCTTCATGGTTGAGAGGGGCATGATGTGTTGCTTGCGCTGCACTGCCAACGCAGCAACATCACCAAAACAAAGGGGTTGTTCATGTTATAAACACCAACACAATTTGAGGCCTAGTGCCACCCAGGCCAGGCCTACCTCGCCTGGTTTCCCTACCAGGTTCGTCAAGCCTCCCCGGGCATTGGAATCTAGGCGAGACCGTGGTCGGGCGTGGTCTGTCTACTGTTGGATGATGAGGAGACCAATAAAATATCTCTTGCTGGAAAGTGTTACAGAAGCCATGCGTTTGCACGGCGTTTCCACACCGTTGATGGAGTATTTGAACCGGTCCCCGGGCCTCCTGAGGATGTCTTCTCGAAGTCGAATGGGCGGTGAACTTCGCGAACGGGGGAAACAAAGGCTGCCGGGCGTGGTGCTGGCCAACCCCCCACCCCCTCGCGTGCCACCGCGCCGGCCTTCCGTAGGTGCCCGCCGCCGTTCGCTTGCGGCACTCGGCCCCAGCAGCCCGTTAAGGCCGCGGGGGGGGTGGGGGGAGGCGGGGATCTGCGGCTGTTCGAGCGTAAGGACGGTTCCCCCCCGTCGCCCTCCCGTCACCTCCGGCGTCTGTCCCAGGTTGATGATCGTCGAGGAGGAGCTGAAGAAGGACCATGCCGACATGCAGGCCATTGTGGACGACAAGCAGAAGATCATCGAGGCGCAGGTAACCCTGTCCTCCTGTGGCGTGTGATGGAGTTTTCCATCATCATCATCATCTTATTATTATTCTTATTTCTGTTATTCCTCTTCGTATCTTCTTCCGTACGGGCTGATGTAAAACTGCTGAACTATTTTATTGTACCAGGTAAGGCCCCGCTGAGCTATGTGGAATTATTTTCAGAAGAGACCCGGGGATCACAAGTGGATAGCTCGACAAAGTGGCTAATCAGAATCATCATCGTCATCATCATCACGTGGACATTTATAGCAGCAGCCAGATAGATTAGGTACCCCCCCCCCTTAACGACGGTGATTGGTTCCACGAAATCGGTCTTGAAGCGATTTTGGTCGTTAATCGAGGATGAGGAAATACAGTGAAACCTTGGATTGCGAGCATAATTCGTTCCGGAAACGTGCTCGTAATCCATAGCACTCGTATATCAAAGCGAATTTCCCCATGAGAAATAATGGGAACTCAAGATGATTCGTTCCGCAACCCAAACATTGCTGTATTCATATAAAAATGATTAATACAAAACACCTTTTTATAATTGTATTATTTAAATTTAATATTAAGTAATCAAATGTATTATTTACGTTTAATCGTGGCTGGTGTGAGGGAGACGAGATAGAGGAGGAGGGTTATTGTGTAGGACGACTTTCACTTGCAGTACAGATACTAAAGAACAGTCACTACACTTGGACACAAAATAAAAAAAGAGCTTTTCGCACACACACGTGGTTATAACACTGTAGTAATGTAGTAAACAGTATACACGTGGTTATAACACTATACTGTAGTAAACAGTATACACGTGGTCACAACACTATAGTACTGTAGTAAACAGTATACACGTGGTTATAACACTATACTGTAGTAAACAGTAAACACGTAGTCACAACACTATAGTACTGTAGTAAACAGTATACACGTGGTCACAACACTATAGTAATGTAGTAAACAGTATACACGTGGTTATAACACTATACTGTAGTAAACAGTAAACACGTAGTCACAACACTATAGTACTGTAGTAAACAGTATACACCTGGTCACAACACTATAGTACTGTAGTAAACAGTATACAGGTGGTCACAATATTATAGTACTGTAGTAAACAGTATACACGTGGTCACAACATTATAGTACTGTAGTAAACAGTATACACGTGGTCACAACACTACTGTAGTAATCAGTATACACGTGGTCACAACACTATAGTACTGTAGTAAACAGTATACACGTGGTCACAACATTATAGTACTGTAGTAAACAGTATACACGTGGTCACAACACTACTGTAGTAATCAGTATACACGTGGTCACAACACTATAGTACTGTAGTAAACAGTATACACGTGGTCACAACACTATAGTACTGTAGTAAACAGTATACACGTGGTCACAACACTATAGTACTATAGTAAACAGTATACACGTGGTCACAACACTATAGTACTATAGTAAACAGTATACACGTGGTCACAACACTATAGTACTATAGTAAACAGTATACACGTGGTCACAACACTATAGTACTATAGTAAACAGTATACACGTGGTCACAACACTATAGTACTATAGTAAACAGTATACACGTGGTCACAACACTATAGTACTATAGTAAACAGTATACACGTGGTCACAACACTATAGTACTGTAGTAAACAGTATACACGTGGTCACAACACTATAGTACTATAGTAAGCAGTATACACGTGGTCACAACACTATAGTGCTGTAGTAAACAGTACACACGTGGTCACAACACTATAGTACTATAGTAAACAGTACACACGTGGTCACAACACTATAGTACTGTAGTAAACAGTATACACGTGGTCACAACACTATAGTACTGTAGTAAACAGTATACACGTGGTCACAACACTATAGTACTATAGTAAACAGTATACACGTGGTCACAACACTATAGTACTATAGTAAACAGTATACACGTGGTCGCAACACTATAGTACTATAGTAAACAGTATACACGTGGTCACAACACTATAGTACTATAGTAAACAGTATACACGTGGTCACAACACTATAGTACTATAGTAAACAGTACACGTGGTCACAACACTATAGTACTATAGTAAACAGTATACACGTGGTCACAACACTATAGTGCTGTAGTAAACAGTACCACGTGGTCACAACACTATAGTACTATAGTAAACAGTATACACGTGGTCACAACACTATAGTGCTGTAGTAAACAGTACACACGTGGTCACAACACTATAGTACTATAGTAAACAGTATACACGTGGTCACAACACTATAGTACTATAGTAAACAGTATACACGTGGTCACAACACTATAGCACTATAGTAAACAGTATACACGTGGTCACAACACTATAGTACTATAGTAAACAGTATACACGTGGTCACAACACTATAGTACTATAGTAAACAGTATACACGTGGTCACAACACTATAGTACTATAGCAAACAGTATACACGTGGTCACAACACTATAGTACTGTATAAACAGTACACACGTGGTCACAACACTATAGTACTATAGTAAACAGTATACACGTGGTCACAACACTATAGTACTGTAGTAAACAGTACACCTGGTCACAACACTATAGTACTGTAGTAAACAGTATACACGTGGTCACAACACTATAGTACTGTAGTAAACAGTGTACACGTGGTCACAACACTATAGTACTATAGTAAAGAGTATACAGGTGGTCACAACATTATACTGTAGTAAACAGTATACACGTGGTCACAACACTATAGTACTGTAGTAATCAGTATACGCTCGCACGGATGTTGACTATACGAGTGAGGCACGCCGACTGAGACCGAGCATGGGAGACGATTACCCACATCCCGCAGCGAGAGAGAGAACCATTGGCACAGTTGTGATCACGTGACGCCGGCAGACAAAGCGTCTATACGTACACTGCTCGTATTGCAAGACATCGTTCGTTTATCAAATTAATATTTATTTAAATGTTTTGCTCGTCTTGCAAAACACTCGCAGACCAAGTTACTCGCAATCCAAGGTTTCACAGTACACGGGTAAAGGGCTTAATTCGTTCCAATAGCATCTAAAGTGACACTTTTTCACCCCAAAAATGTACTTTATACTATTTAAACAATGTATGTCAATTCATAAATATACCAACAGCATTATGAACGCATGATATTGAAAGAAACTCGGTTAATGCATACATTTATATTAACTGTACCTACAACAGCCCGTGGATAGCAGGGGAATGGTTGCTAAGTGAATCACATTGGGCTCTATGGAGCCACTACACAGCACTACTATGCACTACACTACATTATACACTACACTACATTATACACTACATAATACACTACACTACATTATAAACTACATTATACACTACACTACATTATACACTACATTATACACTACACTACATTATACACTACATTATACACTACATTATACACTATACTACATTATACACTACACTACATAATACACTACACTACATAATACACTACACTACATTATAAACTACACTACATTATACACTACACTACATTATACACTACACTACTATGCGCCACACTACATTATACACTACACTACATTATACACTACACTACATTATACACTACATTATACACTACATTATACACTACACTACATTATACACTAGACTACATTATACACTACACTACATTATGCACTACACTAGATTAGACACTACACTACATTATACACTACACTACATTATACACAACACTACATTATACACTACACTACATTATACACTACACTACATTATACACTACATTATACACTACACTACATGATACACTACACTACATTATACACTACACTACATTATACACTACTATGCGCCACACTACATTATACACTACACTACAAAACACCACTACTATACACCACACTACATTATACACTACTATGCACTACACTGCTATGCACTACACTACATTATACACTGCTATACACTACATTACACACTACACTACTATACACCATACATTGGTCAAGCCAGATAACCCTGTCAGGAGCAGTGGAGTCGTTCTATCATCATTGGCCCCTCTACTCCATGTCACTCTCTCCCTACCTCCCTCCACTCCATCTCCTCCCCTCCCTACCTCCCTCTACTCCATCTCACTCTCTCCCTACCTCCCTCCACTCCATCTCCTCCCCTCCCTCTCACTCTCTCCCTACCTCCCTCCACTCCACCTCTCTTCTCTCCCTCCCACTCTCCCTACCTCCCTCCCTCTACTCCATCTCACTCTCTCCCTACCTCCCTTCTACTCCATCTCACTCTCTCCCTACCTCCCTCTACTCCATCTCACTCTCTCCCTACCTCCCTCCCTCTACTCCCCTACCTCCCTCCCTCCCTCTACTCCCCTCCCTACCTCCCTCCACTCCCTACCTCCCTCCCTCCCTCTACTCCATCTCACTCCCTACCTCCTCCACTCCATCTCCTCTCCTCCCCTACCTCCCTCCCTCCCTCCACTCCATCTCCTCCCTCCCCTCCCTCTCACTCTCTCCCTACCTCCCTCCACTCCACCTCTCTTCTCTCCCTCCCACTCTCCCTACCTCCCTCCTTCCCCTCCCCTCCCCACCTCCCTCCCCCCCCCCCACCAACTCCGCCGGCTCGCTCTTCCCGACGGCGGACCGCTCACGTCGCCCCATCCCTTCCTCGCCCCCCCTCGCCCCCCCCCGCCCCGTGACTCGGGTCGAGCGGTCACGTGACCGTTCCACCGGGGCCTGGCTTGGGACGCGTGGCCGACCGTCAAACCCTCCTCCTCGTCGTGCCCCCCCCCCCATCCCCCATCTCCGGCCCCCCCCCCCCCGCCCCACGCAGGAGCAGAAGATCGCGACGCTGGGGGAGGCGAACTCGCGCCTCATCAACGCCCTGGCCCAGCTCAAGGAGCGCTACAACGGCCAGGGGCGTAACGGCCTCTCGCCCACCGCCAACCCACCGCCGCCCCCGCCGAAGCTCTCCATCACCGAGAACGGAGAGTTCAAGAACAGCGGCTGCTGATGGGCCGCGGTCGGGGAGTTGGTGGGGGGGGAGTGGTGGGGGAGTGGTGGGGGAGGGGGGGGGGCCGGTCGTGCCACCGCCGACCGAGTTTGAAGACGGTCGGGGGCGGGGAGCGGCTCGGATCGGACTGACGCGCGGCCCCCGTTGCCGGGGGGGGGGGGCGACGGGGGCCGGGGTGACGGGCGCTCGGCGCGTGCGGGGAGGAGAAGGAATCCCCGTCGCTGAGGAGGAGCCCCACCGAGTCAGGGATCCACGCCGGGTGGGCGTGGACCCCCCCCCACGGCGGACTCGACCGCCGGTGGCGGAGCGACGGAACGGCCGGCCGGCGATGGAGAGAGACGCTGGCCGCTTACGGACGGGGAAAGGGGAGAGGGGGGGGGGGGCGATGATGATGCCCTCGAGGCACCCGCGGCCGCGGCCGCACGTCGCTAAGCCCCGACGGCGTCATCGTCGTCGGCCGTGGTCTATCCACTGTTGGATGAAGGTCCCACACCACCAGACGGCGTCGTCGCCTGTCCGGTCACGCTCCCCGCCCGCGTCCAGGGCGCGAAAGACAATCCCGCCCGCTCCATCTCCGCGGAGGCCTCTTGCAAGCTGCCCGCTCTCGGCCCGAGACTTTTACTGGCTCGGGACGCTTTGAAGGAGATTTTGACGTTGGCGGCGGCCGTGGATTGTTGACATCTTCCGAGCTCCCCCCACCCCCCCCCTTCCACCTCGACGCCCGTGAATGATTGCGCCATGGGGGTGCGCTGATCGATTCCGAATATTCCAAACTTCTAACTCCCTTCCCCCCACCCCTCCCACCCCCCACCTCCCACCCGCGCGCGGGATCGTTTTTGACCTGTCGATAAAAATCTCTGGGCCATCTCCTACCTCCCTCCGACGAAACAAGTTTATGTTAATATATTATTTTTCGCGTGGGCCGCCCGAATGCAAGCAGCAGCGACGGTGGGAGAGCCACGTGGTGAGTAGGGATCAGACTCACCACGTGGTGAGTAGGGATCACACACTCACCACGTGGTGAGTAGGGATCAGACTCACCACCTGCTGAGTAGGGATCACACCACGTGGTGAGTAGGGATCAGACTCACCACGTGGTGAGTAGGGATCAGACTCACCACGTGGTGAGTAGGGATCAGACTCACCACCTGCTGAGTAGGGATCACACCACGTGGTGAGTAGGGATCAGACTCACCACGTGGTGAGTAGGGATCAGACTCACCACGTGGTGAGTAGGGATCACACTCAACAGCGTGAGCGTTCCCCCGAGTGACTTTGGTTGAGGTTCAGCCCCGCAACTGCCTGGTCATGGCACCGCAGCCGCCGCTGCTGCTGCTGGAGGAGGAGCAGTCTCATCCCGAGGGAGCTCCTGAGAGCTCCCCCCCCCCCCCCGTGCAGGGTTCTTTGGCCTACTCTTCCACGCCTAGGATGTTGGGCGAAGAGAAGTTAGATGCGGCCGTGATGTCCCTTTTTGTTGAATGCGCCAGCAATGGTTGTGGCGATGGCGGCGGTGGTGGTGATGATGATTGTGGTGGGTGGTGGTGGTGATGATTGTGGGTGGCGGTGGTGATGATTGTGGTGGGTGGCGGTGGTGATGATTGTGGGTGGCGGTGGTGATGATTGTGGTGGGTGGCGGTGGTGATGATTGTGGTGGGTGGCGGTGGTGATGATTGTGGTGGGTGGCGGTGGTGATGATTGTGGTGGGTGGCGGTGGTGATGATTGTGGGTGGCGGTGGTGATGATTGTGGGTGGCGGTGGTGATGATGATTATGGGTGGCGGTGGTGGTGATGATTGTGGGTGGCGGTGGTGATGATTGTGGTGGGTGGCGGTGGTGATGATTGTGGTGGGTGGCGGTGGTGATGATTATTGTGGGTGGCGGTGGTGATGATTATTGTGGGTGGCGGTGGTGGTTATGATTGTGGGTGGCGGTGGTGATGATGATTGTGGGTGGCGGTGGTGATGATGATTGTGGGTGGCGGTGGTGGTGATGATTGTGGGTGGCGGTGGTGATGATGATTGTGGGTGGCGGTGGTGATGATGATTGTGGGTGGCGATGATTGTGGGTGGCGATGATTGTGGGTGGCGATGATTGTGGGTGGCCGATGATTGTGGGTGGCGGTCACGAAACACCGCGCTACGAGCCCGAGTTCGATTCCCGCGCACGGTCGACCAACACCACCAGGTGACGATTATCCGAACCCGGCACCTGGGCCCCTTCCCTAGGTCGACTCGGCCTCAAATAAGTTACCCGGTGCGTTGTGTGGTGAACACCGCCACCGGGGACACAGAGGCGGCCGGGCGTGGTTCCGGCCTAACCCGCGGCCTTCGTGCGCCGTGCCGGCCTTCGTAGGTGACGCTCGCTGACAGCACTCGCCCCAGCAGTCTGTCGAGGCCACACGGGGAATCTCCTTTCTGGGCCGCTGGGAGACTGTGAGTACGGTGGCCCGTAACGGGTAAGCGGCCGCAGTGGCCGTGTAACTCGATGTGCTTAGCGCAACCGTGTACTGGGTGGGCAGCAGTGCGCTGGATGGGCAGCAGTGCACTGGATGGGCAGCAGTTTACTAGATGGGCAGCAGTGTACTGGATGTGGTGTGCAGCTGTGTGCTGGGTGTGGCCTGCAGCGGTGTGCTGGATGTGGTGTGCCGAGCGTGTAAAAATGTTTGCGGGTCACTGGGCCCAGCCTTGCCCCATGGCTGAAATGAAGCCCCCGAAGTTTGACCGTCTGAACGCGGTCGCGTCGCACGACTGCGTTTCCATAATCGCCGTTTGTTGTTGTTGTTGTTTTTAGTGTTTTTGTTATTTTACTGCCATTGTAAATGCGGGGCGGGGTGGCAGATTGCTGCTGGTCAAACTTAGAATTCCCTTAATTCGCGAGAGAGAGGGAGAGAGGGAGGGAGGGATGTTGCATTTCCTTCGCGATTGCCTCTCCAGATTGAGATGGCATGCAATTGCAGCGCTGCGCCTTTGACTTCCGTGCTGGAACGTTTGGCCAAGGGGAGTGTTCCTTTGACCAAGGAGAGTGTTCCTTTGGGCCAAGGGGAGTGTTCCTTTGGGCCAAGGGGAGTGTTCCTTTGGGCCAAGGGGAGTGTTCCTTTGGGCCAAGGGGAGTGTTCCTTTGGGCCAAGGGGAGTGTTCCTTTGGGCCAAGGGGAGCGTTCCTTTGGGCCAAGGGGAGCGTTCCTTTGGGCCAAGGGGAGCGTTCCTTTGGGCCAAGGGGAGTGTTCCTTTGGGCCAAGGGGAGTGTTCCTTTGGGCCAAGGGGAGTGTTCCTTTGGGCCAAGGGGAGTGTTCCTTTGGGCCAAGGGGAGTGTTCCTTTGGGCCAAGGGGAGTGTTCCTTTGGGCCAAGGGGAGTGTTCCTTTGGGCCAAGGGGAGTGTTCCTTTGGGCCAAGTGGAGCGTTCCTTTGGGCCAAGGGGAGTGTTCCTTTGACCAAGGGGAGTGTTCCTTTGGGCCAAGGGGAGTGTTCCTTTGGGCCAAGGGGAGTGTTCCTTTGGGCCAAGGGGAGTGTTCCTTGGGCCAAGGAGAGTGTTCCTTTGGGCCAAGGGGAGTGTTCCTTTGGGCCAAGGGGAGTGTTCCTTTGGGCCAAGGGGAGTGTTCCTTTGGGCCAAGGGGAGTGTTCCTTTGAGCCAAGGGGAGCGTTCCTTTGGGCCAAGGGGAGCGTTCCTTTGGGCCAAGGGGAGCGTTCCTTTGGGCCAAGGGGAGCGTTCCTTTGGGCCAAGGGGAGCGTTCCTTTGGGCCAAGGGGAGCGTTCCTTTGGGCCAAGGGGAGTGTTCCTTTGGGCCAAGGGGAGTGTTCCTTTGGGCCAAGGGGAGTGTTCCTTTGAGCCAAGGGGAGCGTTCCTTTGGGCCAAGGGGAGCGTTCCTTTGGGCCAAGGGGAGCGTTCCTTTGGGCCAAGGGGAGCGTTCCTTTGGGCCAAGGGGAGCGTTCCTTTGGGCCAAGGGGAGTGTTCCTTTGGGCCAAGGGAAGCGGTGGTGTCAGTGTCGAGAGCTTCGGCCTCCACCAGACCCGGAGGCCCGAGGTTCGAATCCCTGCTCACTCGCCAGCCACCGCCACCACCGCCACCACCAACACCGCCGCCACCGCCGCCACCACCACCACGATCCGACGACTATCCGGACCGGCACCGGGCCACCTCTAAGGTCGACTCGGTCTCAAATGAGTGACCTGGTGCGGTGGCACGTGTGTGTGTGTGTGGTAGCGAAACGTCGCCACTCGGGGCGTGGTTCCGCTGACCACTCACCCACCCAACCCTCGGTGTGCCACAGAGTAGTAGCTACTACTACACGTGTAGCAGTAGCTACCACTACACGTGTTGTAGTAGCTACTTGTGCTACGAGGATAATCCGGCACTGCCACCGGCCTCCATAGGCGGTTGCTGCCCGCTCACAGCACTTGGCCCAAACGTCTCTGAAGGCTATACCGGGGTCGGGGTGTGGAGGGGCTCCTTTGTCTTTGTGTTGGTGGACGACATCGCAAAAAGCCTGGATGAGAGGTGGCGATGATGGTGTGTGTGTGTATATCTGTGTTGGACTTCTTTTGCACCGTACATAGCCGATCACATGTGCGGGGGAGTGGTGGAGGACAGCAATCTGAACACGGCAAAGCGCTCCTCGAGCAACGGGGTCGGAATTCTCTCCCCTGCGGTTTCGTCGCACGGCTGATGGCAATGCCACGTTGACGACGATGATGATGCCTCGCGACAGATGAACGGGGGCTCGAGTTGGCACGCGATCTCTTAACTTACGGGGGAGGTGGGGGGGGGCCTCTATGTCAATCCACTGCTGGACTAAGACCTCACCGAGTCGTCTGCTCGCCGTCGATGTTGAACCGTGGTGGAAGGGGGGGGCGGACACTGAATTATCTCCCGCTCGCTCGCTCTCTCTCTCTCGCCGAACTGGCTTTTGAAGTCCAGACGACGATTTAAAAGTCGACAATTGTGGTGGTGGTGTGGCACTGCGGTGGGGGGGGGGGTCACGAGAAAATCACTCCACACGCCGTGCCGCTGTCACCGAGGGACGGAGGGTAACGTGGGGGGGGGGGGGCTCTCAGCGGGATGTCACGAGCACGCGGTGGGGGGGGGGGGGGGGGCGGGGTGTTTGTTTGCCAAAGGCGGACAGAGCAAAACAAACCAACAACAACAACATGGTGACGTCATCTTTAGAGGTTTACACAACGCGGCGAGATTGTCTCGGTTGCTTCCCGCTCCTCCACCACCACCACCACCTCCATCACCACCTCCATCACCACCACGACCACCACCTCCTCCACCACCACCACCTCCTCCTCCATCACCACCACGACCACCACCTCCTCCATCACCACCTCCTCCATCACCACCTCCTCCACCACCACCACCTCCACCACCTCCTCCACCACCACCTCCTCCATCACCACCACGACCACCACCTCCTCCACCACCACCACCTCCTCCTCCTCCATCACCACCACGACCACCACCTCCTCCATCACCACCTCCTCCATCACCACCTCCTCCATCACCACCTCCACCACCACCACCTCCACCACCTCCTCCACCACCACCTCCTCCATCACCACCTCCTCCACCACCTCCATCACCACGACCTCCACCACCACCACCACCACCACCACCTCCATCACCACTTCCATCACCTCCATCACCACCTCCACCACCACCACGACCACCACCTCCTCCACCACCACCACCACCACCTCCTCCTCCATCACCACCACCTCCTCCACCACCACACCTCCTCCTCCATCACCACCACGACCACCACCTCCTCCATCACCACCCCACCACACCTCCACCACCACCTCCTCCATCACCACCTCCTCCACCACCTCCACCACCACGACCTCCACCACCACCACCACCACCTCCATCACCACTTCCATCACCTCCACCACCACCACCTCCTCCATCACCACCACCACCTCCTCCATCACCACCACGACCACCACCTCCTCCACCACCACTTCCACCACCTCCTCCATCACCACCACGACCACCACCTCCTCCACCACCTCCTCCACCACCACCTCCTCCATCACCACCTCCACCACCACCTCCTCCACCACCATCACCACCACCACTACACCACCTCCAGCACCACCACCTCCACCACCACTACCACCTCCTCCTCCACCACCTCCTCCTCCACCACCACCGCGAGAGTGGAATCCGTGCTCACCGTCTTCACCCGGTTCACTTTTTTACGCATTTTCACTTTAGCCGCTCTAACGCCAGCGACCCTTCCCCCACCCAAGCCCGGTCACCTCGCGCTATTCGCTCAATGTGCTCGTCGCGTTCGTGATTCGAAGCTTTCGCGACTCCAGGAATCCACACTTCGTTTGGTTCTTTCGGTAAACTCGTCACGAAGGCGGCGGCCGGACATGCGGCTATCGCGATGTCCACCTGGAAGACGTGGCGCTTGCTTTGTGTTGCGTTCGAAACGTCGAGATTCATTTCATTTTCATTTTTCTTCCTCCGTGACTTTACCGAAAGAAGCACCGAGCGGTGGTACGATTTGTTTCGTTCGCTTTGGTGGGGAGTTTGTGTGTGTGTGTGGGGTGGTGGTGGTGGTGGGGGTGTGTGTGTTGTTGTTTACGAAAGAATAGATCCTCTGTTCGATTTGTACGACAGCAACATGGACAGGAAAATTGTGCGTGTGGTTTTTGTTTTTGTTTTTTTCACGGAGACAAATATATACTGTATGAATCGTCCCAGCTGGGAAATAAAGCATGTTTTATTTTTTGGTTGTTTAAATGTCAATAATGTTGCCGATCGACGGAGCGTTTCGTTTGCTATCGAGTGTGGATTTGTATGTGTATGTGTGTGTATGTTGAACTTCTTTAGCGCCGTACGTAACCAACCATGCTAATCAGAGGTGCGGTGTTGAGTCTATGGGTAGTGTTGAGTCTATGGGTAGTGTTGAGTGTCTGGGTAGTGTTGAGTCTATGGGTAGTGTTGAGTCTATGGGCAGTGTTGAGTCTATGGGCAGCGTTGAGTCTATGGGCAGTGTTGAGTCTATGGGTAGCGTTGAGTCTATGGGGTAGCGTTGAGTCTATGGGATAGTGTTGAGTCTATGGGCAGTGTTAGTCTATGGGTAGTGTTGAGTCTATGGGTAGTGTTGAGTCTATGGGCAGTGTTGAGTCAATGGGTAGTGTTGAGTCTATGGGCAGTGTTGAGTCTATGGGTAGTGTTGAGTCTATGGGCAGTGTTGAGTCTGTGGGCAGTGTTGAGTCAATGGGTAGTATTGAGTCTATGGGCAGTGTTGAGTCTGTGGGCAGGGTTGAGTCTATGGGTAGTGTTGAGTCTACGGGCAGTGTTGAGTCTACGGGCAGTGTTGGGTCAATGGGCAGTGTTGAGTCTATGGGCAGTGTTGGGTCTATGGGCAGTGTTGAGTTTAGGTCTAGGAGGCAACCTTCCCACGGGGGGGGGGGGGGGGGGGTCCTTCGGCTCACAAATGATCCGGACGGGTGGAATAATAATAATAACAACGTGTGAGTGTGTACGCTGGCAGGCCACGTGATGTGTGTGATGTGTACGTACGATGAAAATTATTTTGCGGCGAGGGGAAGGACAAGGAACTTTAACACAAAAATCAGTTGTAAAGAAATGAGTTTGGTCAATCTCGATGATGATTTAAAAGCGCGCAGCTTCCGGTGGCTTCCTACTATCGGACGGTGAAGAGAGCGTTCCAGACGGCCGCAGAAGCAGCGCAGTCTGAAAGTGCCGCTTGGTGAACTCCGTCTCTTCTCGATGGCCTGCCAATCGCTGCAGCTGCCACTGCTACAGCTGATCCTTCTGCTACTGCTACTCCTACAGCTGATGCTACTTCTGCAGCTGCTACTACGACTACTGCTGCTACTCCTACAGCTGATGCTTCTGCTACTTCTGCTACTACTACTGCTGCTACTCCTACAGCGGATGCTTCTACTTCTGCAGTTGCAACTACTACTACTGCTGCTACTCCTACAGCTGATGCTTCTGCAGCTGCTACTACTACTGCTGCTACTCCTACAGCTGATGCTTCTGCTACTTCTGCAGCAGCTGCTGCTACTCCTACAGCTGATGCTCATGCTACTTCTGCAGCAGCTGCTGCTACTACTACTGCTGCTACTCCTACAGCTGATGCTCATGCTACTTCTGCAGCAGCTGCTGCTACTACTACTGCTGCTACTCCTACAGCTGATGCTCATGCTACTTCTGCAGCAGCTGCTGCTGCTGCTACTTCTGCTGCTACTCCTACAGCTGATGCTTCTGCTACTTCTGCAGCTGATGCTACTACTACTACTGCTGCTACTCCTACAGCTGATGCTTCTGCTACCTTTCTGCAGCTGCTGCTGCTACTACTGCTGCTACTACACCTGCAGCTGCAGCATAGGCAGCAGCTGCTGCTGCCTATGCTGCTACTCCTGCGGCTGCGAGGATGATGAACCGGAGTTCACGCGTGCGGCGACCACATGCCGCCGCAGTTGGCGCCGTAGCGCTTGGCCGTGGGCCTGGACAGACGGGGGCGTCTCCTCTCGCGTCTCGCCCGCCTGGCACTCGGGACGCTTAGCCCCATGGCGCTCTCGGCATCGCTTTTCGCGGTGTTCACACGCGTCGGCCTGTCCAAAAAGGTGTTCACGCGGCGGGCGGTCTCGAAAGGGGTCCATGCGTCGGTTCCCCAAAGGTGTTCACGTGTTCTAAACATGTCCACGCGTCGGTCAGTTCTAAAGGTGTTCACGTGTTCTAAACATGTCCACGCGTCGGTCAGTTATAAAGGTGTTCACGCGTCAGTTCTAAAGGTGTTCACGTCTCAGTTCTAAAGGTGTTCACGTGTTCTAAACATGTCCACGCGTCGGTCAGTTCTAAAGGTGTTCACGCGTCAGTCCTAAAGGTGTTCACGTGTTCTAAACATGTCCACGCGTCGGTCAGTTCTAAAGGTGTTCACATCTCAGTTATAAAGGTGTTCACGTGTTCTAAACATGTCCACGCGTCGGTCAGTTCTAAAGGTGTTCACGTCTCAGCTCCGAAAGTGTTCACGTCTCAGTTCTAAAGGTGTTCACTTCTCAGTTCTAAAGGTGTTCACGTCTCAGTTCCAAAAGTGTTCACGTGCCAGTTCTAAAGGTGTTCACGTCTCAGCTCCAAAGGTGTTCACGTCTCAGTTCTAAAGGTGTTCGTCTCAGTTCTAAAGGTGTTCACGCGTCCATTCTAAAAGTGTCCACGTCTCAGTTCTCAAGGTGTTCAAATCTAAGTTCTAAAGGTGTTCATGCGTCGGTTCCAAAAGTGTTCACGTCTCAGTTCCAAAAGTGTTCACGTCTAAGTTCTAAAGGTGTTCACGTGTTCGTTCCAAAAGTGTTCACGTGTCCGTTCCAAACGTGCCCACGTCTCCGTTCTAAAGGTGTTCACGTGTCAGTTCTAAAGGTGTTCACGTGTCAGTTCTAAAGGTGTTCATGCATCAGTTCCAAAAGTGTTCACGTGTCAGTTCTAAAGGTGTTCACGTGTCAGTTCTAAATGTGTTCACGTCTCGGTTCCAAAGGTGTTCACGTCTAAGTTCTAAATGTGTTCACGTGTCGGTTCTAAAGGTGTTCACGTGTCAGTTCTAAATGTGTTCACGTGTCAGTTCCAAAGGTGTTCACGTGCCAGTTCGAAAACTGCCTAAACCCTCCGGCCCACGTGGTCCTGGTGCAGTTGCACCGCCTGCAAACTCAACAGCGATACTGACGACGACGATGATGATGATGTAACAACCCTCTGTAGTTAGGCCTACGGGGTCCTCTATGTAAGTCTATTGGGGGGGGCCTCCGACCCGGTGAGTCTCTGCGTGTAAAGTCTTCGGGTCTCTCTCTCTGTGCAGTTGCACCGCCTGCACACTTGATAGCTACGCTTACCGATGCAAGCGTCGGCGGGTGTCATCCGCATTGATCGCACGGGTTACGCTTGGCCCAATCCGCAGACCACCACATTTAATTGCGCAACGCAGAACCGTGTCCAAGCGAAGATGTGACGTTGGGCCAACGTTGCGTTAACGTCGGGCCAACGTTGGGCCAACGTTGGATTAACGTTGGGCCAACGTCGGGCGAACGTTGGGCTAACGTTGGGCCAACGTTGGGCTAACGTTGGGCCAACGTTGGATTAACGTCGGGCGAACGTTGGGCTAACATTGGATTAACGTTGGGCTAACGTTGGGCCAACGTTGGCCTAACATTGGAGCCAACAACTGTTCCTCGTTTACTCGGTCGCAACCCAGCCGCGGTCACCCACTGCCACCGACATAAACACTGTAGCATATTGTATCGTATTGTATGATAAAGGCCTATAAGTAACATAGTAATAATAATAACAACAACAATGTACAAACCTTTATCCATCTTCGCTGCTGGATTGAGATCTTCCCCCGTGGCTCTGTCGGTCCTTTTGGGGGGGTAGGTAGGTAGGTGGGGGGGGGGGGGTGTTTAACCATACTTCACCACCTATGGCTGCTCATCATCGGGCATCCCCTTGGTTTTAACGGTTCGTTTACCGCTCGCCACCGTTGTTGGCCCTGGTCGCGAATTGTCGGACCAAACGTCGGGTCTCTTGCGCAGTGCGCTACATCATCCCCCCCCCCCAGTCCCGTCCCCTACATTGTTATTGTGTACTTGGTGTAAAATAATCGCGTCGTGAACGTTGATAATTAACCAATCGCTGCTTCCAAGCTAGAGTCGAACTTCCCCCGGGGGTGGTAGTGGTGGTGGTGGGGACGTTTTATAACCTTTGGATGACCAACGCGAGAGGTCAAGCGGCGGTGTGGAGCGATGCTGTCTGTACATTTAACTTTGGCATTCGTGGTGGCACAAATGCTGCTGCTATATACGATGGCTGTGAGTTTTTTTGTTTGGGGGGGGGGGGGGTGGAACCATATATGTAAAGTTACACGCTAATTTAAAGAAAAAATAAATTAAGACTCACGGTTTGGTTTTTTTTGCTAAAGGTGGGGGGGGGGAAATATATATATAAAAGTTGTGCAGACGAATGTATATGGATAGGTTATAAGATATGAGCATCGTCTTTCGCAAATGGATCTTTTGCAGATATTTGGTTCTTTGAACATCGCTAAAATAAATAAACAGACGGACAAAAAGAAAAGTTCCTGTCGCGTTTACAATTCGCGTCCGTCTTGTCTGGCTGTCTGTCCATCCGTAACGTCGTCTGTCCGACTGTTCGGGCAGACGCCAACGCACCAACCAAGTGAAAATCTCACGAAACTGATTAAGCGTAGGAAATAAAATGAATTTGGTGATTTATTTTATTTTCATACCTACGTGCCTTTAACCGAAAGAACCAAGAGAGTATGGATTCCGCAGAGTCACGAAAGCTTCAAATCGGTATTGATACTTATAGTGCATCATGCGACCCTTTTTGCAAGTACCAAAATATGAAAAGAGGTTTTCGTTTTACAAGAAATCGTGTCTTGCATTCTTACCACGATACCCCGTGGTAAGAATGCAAACAAAAAACATGCTCTGATAATATATGCACTTTGATTGGTCCAGACCATGCACATGTCTTTAAAGAAAGCCGTCTCTGGTGTGGGTACCAATCATTTTCGAGGACAATGCCACATATATGATCAGAGTGCGTTTTTTCACTTGCGTTCTGACCGCAAGTATTGTGGTTAATGTGTAGAGTAGGAGTTAGTGACGACATGTCACGCTCGCCCTCTGGTAGGATGACGTCACGGATGGCGACGTCACGGACAGGGGGGCAGGCAGTGTCGTCATGTCCCCCCCCCTGGGGGATTAAAGCTGGAACCCGTCACGGGTTCAGGGTCGTTGCGGGGAGCCAGGAACGGGTGAAGTTGGAAGTTGGGACCCAGGGTAGGGGGAAATTGGCACCAGGCTAGGGTAGCCTGCGGGTGCTAGGGACTTCCCCAAGTACCCTTACCCTGGGGTGTGGAGCGTAGGCAGTGAGGGGGCAGTACGCGGAGTCGTGTCCGAACAGAAGTCTTTAATAAAACAGCTGGCGCAAGCCCCTACATGAAGACCTGCCTCCGATGCGTCATTTACGCCTCAACTGGCGTCAGAAGTGGCCTTTTTTTCAAGGCGATGCTCTTGAAAAGACGGAACCCACCTGTTGCGTCTTCCAACGACGCAGAGGCGGCGGACCCGGGACCGGACGACCCCGGGCTCCGTGGCCCCCGGTTATTGCGGCCACGGCTGGTGTGTCTACCGCACCAGTGGAGGACATCGAGCGCGCTGGGGAGACGGCCTCCATTACAGGTCCTGCAGCGACCACGTGGCAGGCCGCCGCCGCCATCTTGACCATCGCGGCGGAGCAGTGGTCGGGAGCGGCCATTTTGGAGGTGGCACGTGGTGCGCAGCCTGCTGCTGAAAGCGGCTGTGGCGCGGGACGGAGCCGCGAGGAGAGGACGCCGTCGTCGCTGCGGGGGGGGGGCTGGCGGGGGAGGCCCGGAGGGCGTGCGGGGGCCTCGGTGGAGCCGCCATTTTTTCCCCGCCATTTTGGCGGGGGCGCTGTTCCCGCCAAAACGCCGTTCCCGCCATTTTGGCGGGGGCGCTGTTCCCGCCAAAACGCCGTTCCCGCCATTTTGGCGGGGGCACTGTTCCTGCCAAAACGACGTTCCCGCCATTTTGGCGGGGTGCGCCGTTCCCGCCAAAACGCCGTTCCCGCCGACGTCACCACGTGTGGAGGCTGAGCCTCACACTTAGCCAAGTGGCGGCCCCGACTTGTGCTCGAGCGCGGGCGGCGGCTGCAGCCGCAAGACGACGGCGGCGGGGGGGGGGAGGGAGGAGGTCCGTGGTCGGCGTGCAAAGATTCTTCGGGGCATCTCAGCCCTCCACCCTGCCGTCGTCTTCCCGCTCGTCTCGCAGCTTGTCAGGCGAGGCGTGACGCGACACACAGACACACACACACAGCGGCCCCTGTTGTGACACCTCGTTCATCTTGCGTGCGCCGTGTTGTGAGTTAATGTTATATATATATATTTTTTTATTGTTTTCTCCCCACCGGTATGCGGGTCGTCCAATTGATTGTTGATAACTTGCGTCTGTCACGTGGCGTTCGTTCGTGCCGGGTGTTTTTGCGCGTGTACATTATTGGTTCATGACAGCGTCGTGGAGTTATCTTAAGATCCAGTGGATTGCCATTGTTAATGATTTGTTGACGCTGTTGGTAGCCGTTTGCGGAGTCGCGATTGTTTTAGGTATACGGTATGGAGCTTCGCTTGTGAGTTGTTGTCAACGTGTGCCTGTGGACAACTGTTTATCATTGTTAATGTGTAGCTGTGCTGCGTTTGTTAACAGTGTGTGGACTTTGATTTAAAGCTTTCGTGACTGCGGTAATTCATATTCTTAGCTCTTTCGGTAAAGTCGTTACCTAAAGAGCTAAGAATATAGTGTATGGACTGTATGGAGCATTGCTTGAGATAGGTTGGCTTTGTTCATCATTGTTAATGTGTAGCTGTGCTGTGTTTGTTAACAGTGTATGGACTGTATGGAACATTGCTTGAGATGGTTGGCTCTATGCAGACTGCATGGACTGCATATACTGTACTGTATTACCTACCATTCGACGATTATTGGAGCGTTTTGTGTATTAATTTTTTTCTGCTCAAATTGGAATGCCCGAGTCCCATGGTAAATGTTGAGGGGGATTTTGAAATGCAAATGTCAAATTGTATGTGGTGTGAGGGTGTGAGATTGCAATTGTGCGGGGGATGGATTGCCTTGGTTCGTGGCTCTGCCGTCATTGGTACGGAGCATTTAAATCGAGATGGTGACATGCTGCTAGTGTTGGAATTGTGGTGCTGGCTGTCAAATTTCTTGGGGCGCAGATCCTGACCAGGATGGTCCAGGGGGTGTTGCGTGCCTGACATGTCAGTTGTGGTCCCGTCATGCTACGGCTGACGGCTTGACCTGGCCGCCCGGAGGTTGAGATCCTCCCGTGGTGTGGATAGCCTAGTGGGGGGCTGGGCGCTCGCATGGCTCGGAGAATGTGGTCCCGTCATGCTATGGCTGACGGCTTGACCTGGCCGCCCGGAGGTTGAGACCCTCCGTGGTGCGCCTGGAGATCGAGACACTCCCGAGGCGCGTTGCAACAGAGGGCTGGCGATTCGTGTTGTTCGGGCGTTGTTGTCCGGTTGCGTTGAGACTCTGTCCTTCCGTTGTTAGGGTGCATGTTGTGCAGTAAGTGAGCGCTAGGCGGTTCTTCCGTCTTCGCTTCATCACCGTCTAGTGGATGAAACGGTGGCTGGGGGTCGGGGAACCCTGCCACACCCGTGTTGTGTGGGTGAAGGTGAACATACCAGGGGTGCCCCGGAGATCAAACTTAATTCGTTCCAGACGGCCATTCCAACACCAATTGGTTCGGGTTCTGGTGCATTCCATCTCCGAGGTTCTACCGTATTTGGGTTCATCGCGGCGTTGGTTTGTGCATCCAACGCGTCTGAGTTTGTGGTTATTTTTTTCTTCTCTTCTCTCGCGCTGGCCGGAATCCCCTCGTCTCCACTACTCAGGGGCCAGGTGTCTGTCGTGTCCGCCGAGCCGGGCCGCACGAGTGGTGATGGCGCGAGCGATGCCTTGCGTTTGTGTTCGCCTGCAGAAGCCCCGCCAGTAATTCCACCAGCGGCGCCTCACCTGGCGGATTGGCCGGCGGACTGGAAACCTGCCAGCACACCGCCGATTCTGACGCCGGCACGGAAGAGCGGGCCGGCGTCACGCACACGCTCGCGGGGCGTGCGGATACGGTGACGGCCAGTGAGGCCGTTTCTTTGTCCCCTGCCTTCGTCGGACACGTTCCGGTGTCCCGTGTGGGGACCGTCTCCCAAGTTGCCCTGTACCGTGCTGCCCTAGTGTTGGGTTATGTTCTAGCAGCCGGTCCAGTTCTCTTCACACACATGTCACTTACACTCTTTTGATGTAGTTGTCTTCCCATTCGGGTGGCCGGGCTCTGCTCTCGTAATGGTTGCAGCCGGGTCGGCTGATTTTTTTTTTTCCATGGGGGGGGGGGGGGTGATGTAGAGTAGGAGTTCGTGACATCCTGTCACGCTCGCCCTCTGGTACGATGACGTCACGGATGGTGACGTCATGGACAGGGGGCAGGACAGTGACGTCATGCCCCCCTGGGGGATTTAAGCTGGAACCCGTCACGGGTTCAGGGTCGTTGCGGGGAGCCAGAAACGGGTGAAGTTGGAAGTTGGGACCCAGGGTAGGGGGAAATTAGCACCAGGCTAGGGTAGCCTGCGGGTGTGCTAGGGACTTCCCCAGTACCCTTACCCTGGGGTGTGGAGCGTAGGCAGTGAGGGGGCAGTACACGGAGTCGTGTCCGAAGAGAAGTCTTTAATAAAACAGCTGGCGCAAGCCCCTACACGAAGATCTGGCTCCGAGTCGTCATTTACGCCTCAACAAATGCAAGACACGATTCCTTGTAAAAGGTTTCAGTTTTGTGTTTTAACATCTCAACAAAGCTGCTTTGTTGCCAGACAAAAAGGGGGAAAAAACCTCTTATTATACTTATAGTGCTTAATTCTTGCATGAACTGCAAGACGAAGTGCTCTACAAGACCAATTAAAAGCGACTCGTGCAAGTTAAACAATAAGATGAATACGTAAAATACGTAACAATGCACAAAGTATAATTTAAAAAACGCATGAAAACATCCCTGTCCAATCCACACGGTTTACCCCGTATTCTTGTACAGGAAGACTGAGTTTTCAGGTCCATACGGCGTACAGCCGTTTCAATAGGGGCGACACAAATCTTCGTCTGTAATTCTCACCTTGTGAGATGGGACTTTTCAGGATGAACGTTGAGATTTATAAGGGGCACGGGCGTGACCAATACGTTCTGAATTGGTCTGTAAATAAGGTAGGGCACCGATATGGGATTGACATGCATGTATATAAACACACAATCAGGGCATCCTAATTAGAACCCCCGTTCACCGTTGATAATGCTTTGAAATCCTCCCGGAAAGCCATTCCAAAGTCGAGGACAGGAGGAACTAAAGGCTGCGGCCTCCCATTAAGTTTAAGTCCTTGAACCTTTGGCACAACCAAGAGACAACGTCATCATTAGACCTCACTTTGCCAGTACCAAAATGTAATAATAGGGTTTTTTTCTCTTTTTTTC